TTGAGGTTGACTGTAATATTGCCAATCATTTTCATTTTTAATAAATCATGTTCTTTGATAACACTGTTGACCTTTTTCTTTCTTTCTTTGCTTGCTTGTCATGTTTTTGCCTACATGTGTTCTCATACCCAATACTCATCTACTCCACAGTATCCTGGGACAACCTGCGGATTCCTGGTGTGTTGCAGCGCCTGGCCTTTTCATACTTAGTTGTAGCTTGCCTGGATCTATTGGTGGCAAGAGGTCGCCTTGACATCCTTACAACGGTCAGCAAACAGCTCCATTTACCGTTATTCTTTAACTTTCTAGTTAGTGCTCAACTGGTGCAAAAGTTATCTAAAAATAAAACTGCTGTATTTGCTTTGAAAATATAAAAGAGTGATACATGTATTTTGAATGAGAACTAAAGTGTTTGATTGATGTGTATTTGTCCCCCAGGATGCTTGGTGGTCCCCTGGTCTTGACATCTTGCTGTACTGGCCAGCCTGGCTGTGTGTACTTATCTTAGAAATCATCTGGTTATGCCTCACTTTCCTACTTCCTGTGCCAGATTGCCCAACGTGAGTAAAACAAGGAATGTTAGTCTGTTTGTCTGTATTCATGTAGAATGAGCAATGCTCAGGAGAGGAACTGGCCCCTCTCCAGGACCCAGACCACACTATATCCTTGGTCCCTTTAGGAACTGGAACTGGAACTGGTGATCTTCTGGTTTCAAGCCCAGCCCCTGTGTTTGTGTGAAATGCTTTGGCAATTCTGTTTGATTATCAGGTGATGAGTAGTCTCTATCACTACATTCTGTATTCCATTTTAGCTTCAGGTACAGGTTTTAGACTTCCAAACATGTTCTGTCGTTGAAATATGTTTAGATAATTGCAAAGCCAACAAGGTATTGTAAAATAATTGATTAGCAAATCACAATTAAAAACATCTAGCATAATCAAGATTTAAAGCAGAATTGATAGAAACCCCAACAATTCCATCCTTAGTTTTGGGTTGTTTTGAATGATTAACTTTGCTCTCATTACCCTTTATCCTACATTGATAACACTGACTTCCCGACTCTCCTGAACAGAGGCTATCTGGGTCCAGGTGGGATCGGGGACATGGGCTTATACGCTAACTGCACCGGTGGAGCTGCTAGTCTCATTGACAGATGGCTTCTTGGAGAAAGCCACATCTACCAGACTCCCTCGTCACGGGTTAGTGACCAGAACAACAACTAAAACATACCGGGTGTAGACACATTTAGTCTTTTTATAACCTGAGATGTGAAACTTGAGCTTACATATAAGGTTTCCCTCCTCTAAGAGGCCCATGCACAATTGCTAGCCCCAAAATGCTTACATCACAGGTGATGCAATGATACATTTTAACTTATTCACAAAAATATTTTTTCTGTTTCCATTTAAATAAAGGTGATTTATGCAACTCATATGCCACATGACCCAGAAGGTGTTCTCGGTAGCATCAACTCTATTCTCATGGCTTTCCTTGGATTACAGGTTTGTTGTAGTACTTGTTGGTTTATCTTACCTTTTGTCTCTTGCTTATATCGGTATTTTGATGTCAAAATTGATACTAAGAAAGCTTATTTGAACAACTAAACAGATTCCAATTTTAACATTTTGAATTGTCCCCAGGCAGGAAAAATAATCTTACACTACAGAGATCTCCACACAAGTATAATTTCAAGGTTCCTTATATGGGGTCTGTTATTGGTGAGTACAATAACAAGTTGTCATAAGCATTATCATATGCTGCTACAGTATGTGCACACAGGAATCCGTTTTTTGTTACCTCAGATAAGTAAATATTTCACTGATTTGTTAAACAGGTTCTCAGTTTCAATGCTGAGACAATGTTGATCCTTAGTGAATAATATTGTCTGTTGTGACACACAGGGAGCCATATCTGCAGCTCTGACCAAATGTTCTACTGACCATGGCTTCATCCCTGTTAACAAGAACCTATGGTAAAGTTTGATTTCACTGTATGCTCCTTCAGATGTTACACGTTTTGCCTTTTTCTGTATCGCTTCTTTCAAGGAATAGACAGTTTAAGAAGGTTTTAAAGAAGACATAACAAGCTTTTATTTTGTTGTTGTTTACCACCCCATCTGATGTATTTGGTTCATAGGTCTTATGTTTCAAGCGTTTTACTGTACTTTAGTGCTTTATTGTGGCTTGTTCTGGTGTAGGCAGGTATGTTTTTATTGTTTTATAATGTTGGCCAAAGACTACTTTTTTATCTTTGTGGTCAATTACATTAGAACTAAGGTATTATTCTCAAAGTTCCAGTATTTTTCTGGTTTCCAAATGTGCGCTTCTCCCTTTTCCTTAACATCCAACAAAAAAGTAATCAGAAAACAGATGAATTCAAGAGTGTTACTGGTTGGAATTTTACTAAAAGGCAACACTGGTTGCCTCATCGGCACAGTCAACAGTTAACCTTCAGCACAAGCTACAGAGAGAAATGAAATACAATTGAAAGCTTCCTAAACTTAGAGGGATACAAATCCTTGCAATATAACTTGTTTAATAATGCTGCTTGTGTCTGTTAACTTCACCTCTAGGTCTCTGTCCTATGTGACAACGCTGGCCTGTTTTGCAAACGTGCTGCTAGTGCTGGTGTACTTCACAGTGGATGTGAAGAAGTGGTGGTCTGGAGCACCTTTCTACTATCCTGGTAAGAATTGCCCTGTATAGTCAAATATACACTGAGGATCAATAGCTGATTTTCACAATGACAATTGTGTACATTGGGCATGATTTTATATGTATATACCGACTGTAAACGGATTCGACCTTCCATTTCTCACGCTAGCTCAGTATTTTCACTTAGTTTGAATTCATATCAAGGGTATTTTCCGAGAGGAAGTTCAATAATAGCAAATGTTTCAGTCTACATAATAACTGATGTGTCTCACTTCTGCCTGAGGACAAAACATTAGATCTGCCATGTTTACGAATTGTTGTTGAACTGTGTAACTTGTGTGCATTTTTACAGGTATGAACTCCATCCTAGTGTACGTGGGCCATGAAGTGTTCGAGGAGTATTTCCCCTTTCGTTGGCGCATGTCCAACAGCCAATCCCACACTGAGCACCTCACCCAGAACCTTGTGGCTACTTCCTGTTGGGTCTTTATCGCCTACGTGCTCTACAGAAAGAAGATTTTCTGGAAGATTTAATAGCTGAGCCTCTGAATGGGACATACCAACAACAATACCAGAGGACATTGTTTACATCAGTTGCTGGAGTTCAAATCTGACGACATTTGGAAAGCTGGAAACGGGAGATTATTTTATCAAAAACAATGGTGATTATCTGTTCTCTGAACATGTGTGGTAGCCTTCAAACAGCAAATATTTGTTCAGTTTTTGTAATGACTTTTTTCAGCCAATACTTTACACGACCATACATGTTTTAAATATGTTTCCAAAGCTCTTCAGATATGAAGCAGAGCACCGGCCAAATACCTTAATTGACTCAGGAAGAACTCCTCAGAGAACAGTTCATACATTTCACGAGTATGTTATTGTTATTGGACTATGTTATAGATGCTAGTTTCAATTCATCATCCTATACCACAGACTACAGCAGCAGAGTGTTAAAGTAGTGGTTTACCAATCCCTTCTTGACTTCCTCTGGGGACAGTCCGTGCTGCCACAAAGTATTTGACTAATGCAACAGTATGTTGCATTAGTCGGAAAACTGAAGTGGGTTTTTGTGAGAGTGACACATTAAATGATGTACTATCAAGAAAATGCTATATAAACAAGAGGGGGAAACTGTAGTTAAAGCTATGTTTAAATGGAAAGTGAAACATCTGCAATATATCTGTCCTTGGCTGTCTTTTCTCCATTTGAAATGCTGCGTGTTACCAAGTGTGGAGGGGAAGTGAAGGAGGGCATGTCAGATGACTTTTGAAAACCACCAGAGGTTGCTTGCTTGGCATTTTGGTCAGTGCAGAAGCATGCATGTCCATGAGATAATCTTTATGATTAAGTTGACAAATTTCGTTTTTATTTTTACAATTTTCTTTTTTGTGATGAAAGTATTGGCAGAAATGATTTGCCTTTCATTTGTATATTTACTTTTTGTTAAGTGTGGGATGAGTTTAAAGAAAGCAATGATACTGTGTGATTTAAAAATACATATTTGATGTATTTTCTTACTATAAAAATGTGTTATCATTTGTCATTTCTACATTTGACAGTTAACATAAATATGAATCATTACCACATTTTACAAAATCATACATTCAATCTGTATAATATCTGAATGCTGTGAGAGAAAGTACTGTCTAAAATTAAGAATGAATTGTGCCACACTTTTATACATTTATTTTTTATAATCACCATTTGAATATAAGTTTATATAATAAAATATGTTCCAAAAAGTTGTTACTTTTTTAGTTTGAATTTAAGAGTGAGTTTTGTTCTAAGAACGTATTTCTTTTCACCCTTTGGGCCTTTAAATCAGGGGAAGAATAGTATAAAAAGACCATATGAAGATTTTCATCATGTATTTGTATTCCTGGTGTTACCGCTTACGTAACACTTAATCATCTTCAAGCTGTGTTTCGAAGTTCTTCACCGTAGAGAGGTGTAGTTTAGCTGTATTGCTCAATAAGGCGTGGGAAATCGAGTTACAGTGTGTGCCTTGTGAAAAAAAAGCAAGTTGTGAGAGAGCCGCTTCGTCTCGCGATAGAATAGGTCGATTTTCATTTATGTCTATTGTGAGAGTTTTTGAGTTCTCGCGTGACTTTGTAACTTTCCCACGCCTGTTGTTTAGGCGTCTGCCCTCTGCCCGTCGCCACTCCCTCCCCCTCTTCTCACCCCTTTGCACCGTCACACCTCCCCCTCTTTCTCTCCTGCTTCTCCTTCCAGTCTGGTTCTCCTGTTGTGCCGTTGGCTTTGGTGAGGGAGCTGGGGGAGGGATCTCGCGATTGTTGGACCTTTTTTTTTTTTTCCGGGGGGGAGAGTTATTTTGGAAGATGGCGCCCGTTGTTACGGGGTAAGTGCTGAAATTCAAAGCATAATGATATAAAAAAACTTTTTTTCTTGTGTTAACCCGTTTGTAGTTAGTAGTGTTCTTGAGTGATGCTTCGGGGTGTTCGGAGTGTTGCCTTGTCCTCAGTGAGCTGACCCCACGCATCGCTACTTTGAGGCTTGATGTGGGGTCAGTTGTGCCAAAGTATTCTTCGTAATATTGCTGCTTTCTCTGCCATTTGAGGAGTTGTACGATATTGAATATGTTTCAAACTACTTTTTGTCCGTCAAACGGTTTACTTTTATACTGAATTACTTGTTCTGTATTTGTGTAATGTGTGGTTTAACCATAGACAGTAAATGGTTTCAACAGGTTACGCACAGCGACAATATAATAGCTTTACAAACTGCTCAAATACTACCATTTAAAGACAATGGTCAGTGACAATTAGTATCAAATATATATTAGTGGCATTGCACAAATTGTACAACATTTGCTGTGCTATTAGTACCATTATTTAAATAGCTGTCTGAATTGTTTCCTTATTGTATACTGAGTTTCATTAACAAGTATAAAAACATACTATAAACAAAAGGCGAAACCATTTTTTTAATCTTTAGTTTACATGTGTATCTGAGTTCATAAAGCAATAGGATATTATAAGCATTTTACAGATTTCGCAACTCGCTAGCATTGTGCACATTGTCACTCAGTTGTTCACTTTCAGTCAGGCTTCTTGTTGTATCTGATGCATGAGCCCAGCAGCAGAACCACGTAAACACCTTGCACCCTGATGTTTTTGTTTTGCAGGAAGTTTGGTGAGCGACCTCAGCGTTTGACAAGGTAAGCAGAAACAGAATGGCAACCCTCACAGTGCATACATCTCAAACTCTTTCAATCTACCACAAAAACTGGGACAACTTGATTACATTTGATTGCATTAAATGTTAGAACAATTTGTTCTGTCAGTGTTAACATGATTTCCCTTCATTTCAGGGAGGCTATGAGGAATTACTTGAAGGACAAAAATGATCAAACTGTGATCATACTACATGCAAAAGTTGCACAAAAGTCCTACGGCAATGAAAAAAGGTTTGACTTCTCATATTTCTATACTTTCTATACAGTATCAATGATTTGTTATATTACTTTATAAATGTAAACTCAAGTTTAAGTTTGTTAGATGATAAATCAATGTTCAAAACTGTACTGTATGTTTTTTAACCCTACTCGTGCCTCTTAGGTTTTTCTGCCCTCCACCATGTGTGTACCTGATGGGAAGTGGCTGGAAGAAAAAGTTGGAGAATATGGCGAAGGAGGGGTGCACGGAGCAGGAGTCCCAGCCATGTGCATTCATCGGGATAGGCAACAGCGAGCAGGAGATGCAGCAACTCAATCTGGAGGGAAAGGTGAGTTGGCATTTATACATTTAATATTAAAGGGGTTTTAATTATGGTTCCACCTTATGATGTTGGTAATCGTCACTGTTAACAAAGTCTTCCCATTATGAACATTTTATTTCAAATGTATTCTGACCATGATCATTTTGACGCACAATAGTATCCTGATGCTTAAAATATGCTTATAAACCTAATATGGTACCACTTTACAATAAGACTACCCTTATAAAGGGTTTACGAATAGTTTGTAATTCATTTATTAATTAGGTTGTGAACACTTTATAAATCATTAATAAGCTTTTATAAGACATGAGATAAACAGGGCAACTGTGACCGGTTGCTTGCCAAATAGTGAGCCCACATGTATCTGTACTGCTAAGTCTTATATTGGCTACCTAGCTTACTTCGTCTTCTTCATCAGCCAGCATCCTTGGTATCTGTTGCTCACCGAGTTGATTCTCGCTAAGTAGCCAATATAAGGCTTAGTCATCTTGCCAAATAGTGAGCCTGTGTTGATGTATGAAAACTATTTTAGAACTGGTTTATAAATGGTTCTTAATGATTCATTAATCTAATTATAAACCCTTTATGAATCCTTTATAAGGGTAGTCTTATTGTAAAGTGGTACCCCTAATATTTAGTTAAAACAACTATAATTTGAGTGAACACAATTTTCAGTAAAATCAGTGATCTTGAATGAGTTAATAATTAATCATAAGTTACCCCTGCATAAATAAACAATCAATAAAAAGAAAGCACTATTGTGTGAGTCTGCTACATTCATATGATAATAGCTGTTGTATTCATGCTAAGGCTCTATTTTCCCTTCTCTACAATGAAGTCAATCATATGAATATCTATTAATTCACGATTATCTAAGTTCCTACCATCCTACCTTTGCTCAGCTTCACTCTTAGCAAAGTATGCAAAGTAACCACACCATCAAATGTACAGTTGCATTAATTAGCTGTCTGACATATCCTCTGGCACTGATGTTCTTTCTTGTGTTTTATTATTGCACCAATGCCAACAAAGAACTCTTATAAGGGGAAAAGAGGGAGGTGAAAGGGGGACAAACAAAACCATGCGCAATCGCACGAAAACCCCTAACCTAATCTGTCTCCTTGCATTAGCACTTCTGCACAGCTAAGACTCTGTACATCAGTGACTCGGACAAAAGGAAACACTTCATGCTGTCTGTGAAGATGTTGTACGGGAACAGCGACAACATAGGAGTCTTCCTCAGCAAGAGGATCAAGGTCATCTCCAAGCCCTCCAAGAAGAAACAGTCCTTGAAAAATGCAGATTGTGAGTTACAGGATGTTTGAACACACACATACACACTAGCTGATGCTTGACAGCTGTATGGTCTCACTACACACTGACACTCATCTCTCTTCCTTTACCCGGTTTCCTTTCTCCCCAGTGTGTATAGCTTCAGGGACTAAGGTGGCGTTGTTTAACCGCCTGCGTTCCCAGACAGTCAGTACCAGGTATCTTCATGTGGAGGGGGGGAACTTTCTCGCCAGCTCCCAGCAGTGGGGAGCCTTCTTCATCCACCTCTGTAAGTCTTTATCTGTGGTTCATTTTTTCACTTTACATTTTTTTCTCTGTGGTCTTTACAGTTGTTTTCATTGATGTTCATTTGTCCCTTGACTGATAGAGAGCACCTGTTAAAGGTTAAGAGAAAGTTATAGACATTTACATAATTGTTATGCTCTGTTTCGTTTCCTAGTGGACGAGGAGGAGTCTGAGGGAGAGGAGTTTGCTGTGAGAGACGGCTATATTCACTATGGCCAGACAGTCAAACTGGTCTGTTCTGTCACTGGCATGGCCCTGCCGAGACTGGTATGCACCGTCTATGTAGTCATGTCTCTGATGTCTTTCAACTGCACACACATGTTTGTGTTAAATTGCATGTATACACATATATGCATTATCTTTCTCTGTTTACTTATGATGGGTGTGTTTGTTTTCATTTCCCAGGTCATTCGTAAAGTAGACAAGCAGACTGCATTAATGGACGCAGATGACCCGGTGTCCCAGCTTCACAAGTGTGCCTTCTACCTGAAAGATACAGACAAAATGTATCTCTGTCTCTCGCAGGAGAGGATCATCCAGTTTCAGGTGTGTAATAACGCACACACTTACACACATGGGCTGGACTTGGGGTTTTGAGTAAGAGTTTCAATTCTGCCTGAATCAAATCATTTAAAAATGATACTCTTTTAATTGTTACTTACCATAAAACACGGGGCTTTTACAGAGAACATGTCTGCCTACAGCAAGTATGTGTTGTGAATTTAGTACCCAGGCTACATGTCTACCTGTTTGTTTTAATGAGCATCCCAAGGCGTTAGAAGAGAGTCTTATAATTATCCCTGCCATCGACAAGCTCCTATCTAAACTCACGTGGGTTTCTCTCTTGTTATATGTGCAAGTGGGAAGTGAAACGTATTTCTATGTTTTTTTCTCCCTCCCAGGCCACACAGTGCTCCAAAGAGACGAACAAGGAGAATGTAAACGATGGGGCTTCCTGGACTATCATTAGCACTGACAAGGCAGAGTACACCTTTTACGAGGGAATGGGACCGGTCCCAACACCGGTCACACCTGTCCCTGTGGTGGAGACTTTGCAGGTATGCATGTAACCATTTCTTTAAGAAAAAACGTCTGTTGTGCATTTATCAGCCAACCTAGGTGCTGGTTACCAACCACTTCCTCTTTCAGTTTTGACTCAGCATTAAGGGACCATTTAAAGACATAAAACCTTTTTTTTGTATGTCTGTGTGAAGTTAAACGGGGGAGGAGATGTGGCGATGTTGGAGCTGACCGGACAGAACTTCACCCCCAAGCTCAGAGTGTGGTTTGGAGATGTGGAGGCTGACACCATGTACAGGTACGTTTCTGTTTCTCTGTGGGAACATTTGTGAGTAACGGCATCACTAGGACGGAGCAGCCATCCATGGAGGACCTCTACTCCCAGCGGCTCAGGAAGAAAGCCCTCAGGATTATCAAAGACCCCCATCACCCCAGCAACAAACTGTTCTGTCTGCTGCCGTCTGGCAGGCGGCACCGCAGCATCCGGACTAAAACCACCAGACTCAGGGACTGTTTCATCCCACAGGCCATAAGACCGCTAAACACCTGAGCTCTGCTAAGTGCCCCGATAAACATTCCTGATGTCATCTTGCAATATACTTATTTATATAAATAGTTATCAACACAATACAATTTAATTTGGTCTTAATTTACATTATTTTAATTTAATATTCTGTTCTTGTACATATCATATTCTATTTACATGTATATAGACTTTTTGCACTACTTTTTATTTTGTATTTTATTATATATGTTGGATTGTTGGAGGAGCTCAGGTCATAAGATTTTCATTGCCATTTCTACACTGTAGTTTTGTGAATATGACATTAAAACCTTTGAAGCTTTGAATATTCAAACCCTGTCTCAAACGTCTGTCCCCTCAGATGTGGAGAGAGCGTCCTGTGTGTGGTGCCGGACATTTCTGCCTTCAGGGAGGGCTGGCGCTGGGTGAGACAGCCGGTACAAGTCCCTGTCACACTAGTCCGCAACGATGGAGTCATCTACTCCACCGCCCTCACCTTCACCTACACCCCTGAGCCTGGGCCCAGACCCCACTGCGGTGCTGCTGGGGCCATTCTGCGGACACATAGCACCTCTTCATCATCACCAGCATCTTCATCTTCCCCTTCATCCTCGTTGGGGGGGCTCGGGGACGGCCATGGGGCTTACAACAGTAGTGACTCAGGCATTTCGTCAGGGGCGTCCACCATGTCGCTACTGTCATAGTCAATCTGTCTGTGCTTTGAACGGCTGAGAGAGAACGTGTGCATATGCTTTTGAGCCAGACAAGCTCATGGACCTGTGAAGAAATGCACACAGACTCACAAACTCTTCATCAGAGAGCAACTGTGATCATCGGGAATGCTAAAGAAAAGTTGGATAAAAAAAGCAAGGACAAAGAGAAGACTGAATTCTCTCTTTAGCTCCCTCTACTGGTTTGTTTTGGACATTTCAAAAGCGACACTTAAAGGACCTCGATATTCAAGATGTTCAGCTAAGAGAAGGAAAATGCCCCATGTAACGCTCACAACAACCGGATTTGTACAAGAAACAATAATTTAGTTTTTTTTTTACGCCTGTGGGAAGCTGTTTCATCTGTGCTCTCTTTCTACTGAGATCACGTTTTTGCTGAACAGGTCTTGTTGATTCATCTGCTGTGTGCAAAGGAAACATTTGTTGTAAGAGTAACATAGTTTTTACGGACCAAGGAATATTATATTATTTTATTCATATTATATTTTATAAGCTTTTGCCGAGGTACATTTGACTTTTTTTATTTTATGATACTGCATAGTAAGTTCACTTTTGTTACCAAATAGATATTTTTTCATGTTGACTCCTTTTTGAGTTTTATCTAAATCTTTAGGTCACTAAGTTCAAAAACCTTCCCCAACTTTTTATAACAGATGTCATTTTTGATAAGTAGTGTATGTAAGTCAGTGTATTCTGGGAAACCTGTGCTTCCAATCTGCGTGCTGTTTTTGTATCAGAGTGCTTCAACTCGAGTCTAAACATAATCAGTTCTCTTTCTATTATAGCTATCACACAGCAGTACGTCTTCATGTACAGTTGAGAATCCTTTGAACAAAGTACAGAGTTTACGTTAAGTCAAAGAACAAAGAAAAGAGGTCAAAAGTATTATCTCACTAGTCATGTTACAGATGTATTTCTTCGCATCGGCCCGCCCTTACATTTTCTTTTGAGTTTGTGCTTAAGGCCCGGACACACCAAGCAGTCACCAGAGAACTTGCCGATGCCGACTGTTGCGTCGCCGTGTTCTCCTGCGTCTTGGCCATGTGTGGCCAAGACTTCAGCCGAGCACGTACGAACTTCAACATGTTGAATCGGCCATGCGTCAGCCATGAAAGGCCAAATAAGGCGTGTCACGGCCGACGGTGCGGGACACACCAAATTGAGTTTGGGCGACAGGGCACGCTTCGTCGTCCGACTAACGAAAACGGCCGATTTCGGCCTGGCCTTTATGTGTTGGAAGAAGAGCTTTAACATTGTTGCTTGGTATCCCTGTCTTCACACATGCACCAAACGTAGCCATTGCACTTCGTTGAACCTGGTTTTGTGAAATATGGCATCTGACTGCAAAAGCACTAAAACTCAATTTAATACCATCAGAATTGGTTGAGTTTTTGGAAATGACATGAACAGAGTTAAAAACCTATCTTGTTCAGTCGGTTGAATACAAAATGACTTTGAACTGACTTACTGAAGTACTTAGGAATGATGAGATGCCCTTGCCTTAAAAAAAAACCTACCTACACAATTTGTTTTGCCTAAAGTTCTCACACAAAACCCTGATTTGTATCGGGCTTTTTTGTCATACTGTTCCAAAATTCAAGTAAAGTTGAAGTACATTTGGAAGGTTGACCAGCTCACTGTCAGTTTTCGTGACACAGCTGTAGCTCTTTGCATGTTGTTTTAAGCTTGCCTAAGAAGTACATTTATGGTTGTACAACAAACTCCTTTGTTGTACCATCAAGTCCCAGCTGAACACAAATCTCCATTTATTTTCGTGCTCTCTCTAAACAACAGTCAGCTTGATGGACCATCTCTTGCTTCAGTTACATCACAAACTTGTTTATTCTTTTATTGCAATGTGGTCACACTTGATACAATCTCTGCTCATTCCAAATGATTGAATCTTTGGTCACCGGATCCTTGTTCGTTTTCCCCCTACTGTGCCTTATGCTAATGTTTCTGGCAGTCAAGTCTCCATGTTCTATCTACAAGGCCAGGTGTGATGTAAGTCAGTCCTGGCATAAGGTCAACTGTGAACTAGCATGGTAAATCAACAGTAACATGTTACACTGGCAGCTTTATGAGTATTTCCATGGCTTTTTCGTTTATTGAATAAGTGTCTTTACTCTAATCCTTCTTTTGATGTCCACTGCTCTTTCCCTATATGATCATCCCACCATAGTTTTAGTCTGGCGTGTTAGTCTTTCATAAGTAAATCAATCTGGCAAGGTTTCTTAGTAAAAGGTCATGAATAAAAACAAGCTGAAGCTGAATATCACTTGTAAAAATGTTTTTTGTTTTGTATTTTGTGGTTCTTTTTCATCATCATTAATGAGTAGAAACGGAGCTAAAGGACTAAGGTTAGATGCAATCATGGTAAATTCATATATAGTCCACACACTCGGATACTGGAGAGGCCTTATTGGACATGTGCTGCTTTCGGCATGCTCCACAGGGTATAGGTCAAAGCTGCCCACTATTTTTAAACTCAGGGCTGAATTTCTGGAATGAAACCTGATACTTTGTAACTGTTTAAGAGTGTGAATGTGATGTGCTTGTTTGTGTGCATGTGTAGTCCTGCGGTCTGTTTGTGTCCCTCCAACTCTCAACGTTTCTAGTAATTCAAGTTAAGGAAATACACTGTTTGCGTCTGAGTGTGTTGATGAAATGACAGGCCATATATAGCACCAGAAACCTCATGAACAGGTGCACAAACATTTACCAAGTCTATGCAAATAGCTTGAAGATCTGTGAACAAGCATACAAGTGTCAGGCCACCCAGACAGCCTGGCCTTGACTGGACATATGACAAGCTATTCCCGGCAAGATACTCTTAAACTCACTTCCCCACAGTGAGGTCTAAAGCCTTTAAATTGATCCTCCGCCCAAACCAGGATCAATAAAGCCACACAAAGAGAATGGATAGTAAAAACCAGTTGGTATGATTGAGTGTTCTGTTGTTGTGCCACATGGTGGATTACAAGCAGCTGCTCAGTTCTGTTACACATAATAGACTACACTGTAAAATGTTTGGCTGTACAATTACAGTAAATTACTGGCTACTAGTTGCATGGATTTCACAGTAATTTACTGTAAATATTTCACAGTAATTGACTGTAAATATTTCACAGTAATTTACTGTATATATTTTACAGTAAATTAGAATACAAGTACAACTAAATACTGTGACTTTACAGTTGCCATGCCCATGGAATTACTGTGATATAGCAGTACAGAGCTGTGGTATTATGGTACCTTGCTGTACATAAATTACAGTAATTACCTGTATTTTCACACTATTACTGTAGAAGTAATGCAACACAGTAGCCAGTAATTTACTGTAAATATAAAAATCTAAATAATACGATAATATATTGTAATTTTGACTGGGATTGTACCATAACTACACAATTCAATCAGCTCAATCAACAAAGAAAAACAAAGAAAATGCCCATTTTAACTTTGTATTACTCCATTGAAGTGCAAAGTACATTTCACAGTGTCTTGGACATGTTGTTACGGCCCCAACCTCTACTCCGCGGTAGTGGCTCGTGCTGAGACCCGCAACATGAAAGAATACACGCAATAACCGGTACTTGGTAACGAGCATGTATTGATAATCAGCCGTTTGCTCACACAAGTGAAATGGGAAACAAAACGAGGTCTGGAGGACTGGCCAAAAGGAACAACAACAAGGAGGGAACCCGAGCCAGCCACACCACGGACCGTAGGACCCAGAGCTCCCCCCCCCCTAACCAGAAATCATTATCATTATAAACCCAATGGGAAACAAAATAAAGCCGCGAAAACTGGACTATCAGGTCCTCCAGGCTAAACATAAACACATCTGCAAAAATATGGCCTACAGCTCAAAATGGCAAAGAGGTATTCTGAGGACAGTGTCTCCCGGATAGGCGAGACATCCTTCTCCTACAGCTTCTCTTTATATATACACGGCTGAGTGGAATTTGGAACACCTGGGCAGAGGCGGAGCCAGGGGCAGACCAGGTGCACCTGGTCAGAGGCGGAGCCAGGGAGACAGAAAAGAAAACAAGGAGGGGAGCACTTATTACATTACATTACATTGCATTTAGCTGACGCTTTTATCCAAAGCGACTTACAATAAGTACATTCGACCAGGAAGACACAACCTTGAAGAAAACAGAATCATATAAGTACATCAGGTTTCATAGAGCCAAACATTTCAAGTGCTACTCAACTGGCTTTAGATAAGCCAGTCCTTTATTAGTATATAAGTGCTTTGTTAATAGTTCTATCGCTCGAAGTGGAGTCGAAAGAGATGAGTTTTCAGTTTGCGCCGGAAGATGTGCAAGCTATCTGCCGTCCTGATGTCAATGGGGAGCTCATTCCACCATCCTGGAGCCAGGACAGCAAACCCACGTGTTTTCGCCGATGGGAACTTGGGTCCCCCTCGCAGCGAGGGTGCAGCGAGTCGTTTGGCTGATGCAGAGCGTAGTGCACGCGCTGGGGTGTACGGTTTAACCATGTCCTGGATGTACGAAGGGCCAGATCCATTCGCAGCATGGTAAGCAAGTACCAGTGTCTTGAAGTGGATTCTAGCAGTTACCGGAAGCCAGTGAAGGGAGCGGAGGAGCGGAGTGGTGTGGGAAAATTTAGGAAGGTTGAAGACCAGACGAGCCGCTGCATTCTGATGAGCTGCAGAGGTCGGATGGCACATGCAGGTAGACCAGCCAGGAGGGAGTTGCAGTAGTCTAGGCGTGAGATGACGAGAGCCTGGACCAGAACCTGCGTCGCTTTCTGAGTCAGCTGGGGACGTATCTTCCTGATGTTGTAAAAAGTGTATCTGCAGCAACGGGTTGTAGCAGTGATGTTTGCAGTGAATGACAGGTTGTTATCTAGGGTCACACCCAGATTCCTTGCAGTCTGAGTCGGGGAAACAACTTATCACATGTCTACACAGACATCCACTCAAAGTAAAAAAAAATCTGAAGAATGTGCTGACATGGAGGTTTAAATTGCCATGCCTCTTTTTGGCTTTCGAGCCCGTCTCAGGCTTAATGCCCAGGAAGCACGTGAAAACACTAAGCCAAGACAACAATTTCAATTTTACATAGATTTATATGTTGCATCGTTTATTTTAAGGCACATGCATCGGTGCCCCTTTCAATTTAAGTAAAACCTGCACCAAATAAATAAATTAGTATTTAAAGCCAAGCAAGAGCGATAAAAGCAAGAAAATCACTTAATTTGTTGTGTTATCACAGAGGATGGTCTGAATACAGTATGTTACTGTGAAATAATACAGTAATTAACTGCCTGCATTGATTTCACTGTGACATTCAAAATTACAGTATTATATTGTGAACATTACAGGTAAAGACTGTAAAGTGGTAAAACAGTAATTTATTGTAAAATATTACAGCTAAATATTGTGAAATCATGGTAATATTTTACAGTGTAGGTATATCTACCAAATCGAGGTCACTGGATCAACACTGCAGCTCCATGGTCTGGGTTGGAGGCTGGGTTAGGAAACATGATGAAGTGTTAGGGCCCCTGTTGCTAGAGAGGGAGTGGGGGGGGGGGAGTGAGGGAGGGAGACAAGAGGTGGGGCGGTCATATCCGCGTAAGAACGTCACAACTCTTACGTCTCTTTTGGGAAAGTGGTGACAGAAGAGAGAACTGGACAAATCCGATTATCAGGTTTATAAAGAGACAGACTCCAGGAACAACAAGGAGCAGGGAAGAAATATTCACCATGAGCAGGATTATAGGCTGATTTTGTCTACATATTTAAACAGCATTGGCACACTTAAAATCTATTTCTGAGTGCAATTTTGACTCTGGATTTTAATAATGATGGATGAGCGTCAGGACTTTTTTATTCTAACTTTTTATTAGGCCACGTTTGGATTAATAATACCACTGTCTCTTATTTTGCCGGAATACCAAAGACCATATTTGGAGTATTTTACGCACAGACCTCTTCGGACGATATTACAAATCATGTTGGAGTCGTGTTGGAACTTTTTTCGCGTTTTCATACAATTCGAAGTGCCAATTACCCAGCTTGCATGATTTCTCAAGTGAATCATCGGTATCACATCTCGCTTGCAAGGCTGACCCTGAAATAGTAACTCGGATCGCTTGACGACTGTCGCTGACTGACCGTGTTGCCTCCAAAACGGGGGTTGTTACTGTGTATGTTCTTACTCCTTCTGTTTGAAAGAGTTTCTTAAATCTGGACAACAGGATTATCTACCATCTGAAATGCTTCCCTTGTCCCCCCTTCTGCTCCTCGTGTTCCCCGCTGCGCTCTTTGTGGTCGCGCAAGGCGCTGGGGACCTCCAGGGCTTCACCTTCCCCGGAGGGAGCGCAGGATTCGACCCAACAGGTATTACAGAAGAGCCAATTTATATAGGAAAGCTGTACATCAGCTCTCACTCCTATAGTTGCATTTTTTCAAATATGCACTGCCAATAATGTTCCAAAAGTTAGACTAAAGGCATAACTTCAATCTCGTCTCTACAATGGCTGAGAAAGGCAGACGGTCATTTCACATTATTCTATTTCTAACTTATCCAATTTTGCATTCAAATTTGAAAACATGTATCCTAACTGTGCACATGGTGGTAACCCATTCAACATTTTTTAACCATATTGGTTTCAACCCTAAATATTGTTTATGTATTCGACTTGAAAGAAAGCCCTTGTTTTCATGTCCATTTTTTCCATTTTGATGACTCTGAAAGATGAATTGCCTTATTTTAAAGCACATTCCACAGGTCATTGTACTCGAGACAATGCAGCCAACTTTACAAGAACACCCTTTGTTAACATTTGTTCTTGAGTCATTGCCAAAATGACATGTAGAGATATATGTAAAGACATGAAAAAAACGTTTCACACTAAATATTGCTGGACCTTGTTTGGGTTGTTTTTATTCTAAAACTGTAACCTCATAACTAGTTAACTTGACTGCATTGTGCTCCTCTCATGTTCCCAGGTCTCATAACAGCTCACCTGTGAAAAGACTGAAACTCGGGTCATGTTTAGGTCCCACAGGGACACAGATAACACACTCAGACACGCACTTTCCAGAGGGTCTTTGCATAGACCATTGATATTTGATAGCCATGCCAAGCTGGGAGGTCTCCTCCTTGTTGAGAAATGCAACTTTCCTTAACAACTATGATGGGATCAATGTCTTAGCTCTATACATTCATCCTTTATGTGAGAATAAGCCGAATAATTAATCATATTCATAGATGTTGTCCCCTTCTGTTCATGTTGTGT